AAGCACCCAGTTCAGGTTGAAGCAGGAGGAAGATATGCGTTAAGGCAGATTGGAGTTTTTGTTCGTTTGTCAATTAAATAAATGAATAATTAAGCCTATATGCTCATAGTGCAAGTTCATTATTAAAATATGAATGAAAAAAGTGATTAGAAAATATGCTAATTAAATGACGATCAATAACAGGTTATGACAGAATTTTTACAACCCTCTCCGTCAAATTGACAGACAATGAGAAAGTCTAACGCGACCTCTGGTACAGACACAGATGATTTTCCTTTTTATAACAGTAGTTAAAAAAGCAATAGTGTAAACGCAGACTAAGGTTCAACTAAAGGAAATAGAGTTGAGAACTGAATTTTGGGCAGTTTTGATTCAGAGATGAGGAGGGTCTTACAGTAAAATAACAATTCATTGATTTGCAAAAAAATGCCATGTATTTATATCAGCATAACTTTTAAATTAAAAATAAGAATTAAACGCTAAGCTGAAGGCATTTAGTTGAATTCCCTGCTGTCTGTTTATATGCAAGCCTCATACTGCGGTTCAATGAATCCATGCTGTGGGGTGATGGTGAGGCAGTGAGCGGGCCAGTACAGCTCAAAGCTCAGCACTCTGTTTGAATGGTTCATTATTTGAACATGCCTGGGGTCAGCCACACTGTCTGCAAATAAACAAACACAACATGCAATCCTGAGCATATTTCTCCCATTTACACATTCATCATCTACTAGTCACATATGTAACACAAACATTCACACTTGTGACTATCAATTAATTCTATCAAAACTACATTCAGTTATTTTTCTCTAAGTGAAACAAAGTGTGTTTTTATTTCATGTTACACATTAAACCATATAGTCATTACATTACAAAACATAAATGACCCTTACTGTTAGTGGGTACTGTGAGGACCATTTTTTCCGGCTTGATGCTCCAAGTATTCTCCATGTTCGGCTCTGTTTTTTTTAGAGCAGGTTCAGATGGGGTAAATGAAGGACCTTTGACTGGAAGCACATCCAAGGAAACATTACTGATGTAATGGCTCAATGACCCTAGACTGCTGCATGAAGAACTAGACATTAATTTCAGCAATGTGAAAACCTAAAGCATTCACTTACATTCACTGTTATTCTTTGAAAATGTCTACCTGTCTGATTCAGAAGTGTGCTGCTGTGAAGGTCTGGTGGGCTCCATATGGTCACTTTCTTCTAAGTCTAAGATCTCCGTAGTGCCAAAAAGTGACAGCATTACTTTTCTCATGTTTCCATAGAAAGTCTGTGCCTCATTTGGTCTCAGAGGCAGATCACAGGCTGACAGTAAACCAAAAAGCAAAAACAATCATATTCAGTATCAACTAATGAGTACAGGTAGTTCAGTTTCAGATCATCCTTGACTTACCCTCCAGAACCTGTTCCTCACCAAGGAACATTTCATCAAATGGGATACTCTTTAACAAGCTCTTCACAGACAGTACTTTATTCCCTGCGTCCGGTTTGATTTGTAGTAACCTTGAAATCAGATAGAGACAAAATTACACAATAAACTTAGATGTAACACTGAAAAAACATCAGAACATTTCCTCACATGAAATGGTTTGGCAGATCCTTGATCGTTTTTCTTGATATTTGATCTCTGGCTAATTTGATTCTGGTGGTTTTATAATCAAATTTAAAATATCTGTTTCACAAAATGAGTTTAACAAACTCTGGGTTAGAGACTCCGAATATTTCAGTTTGATAAATCTAAATAAAAACAAACTGTATAATATCAGGTTAAGTTGTTGCAAAAGGCTTGACATAAATGTTCACTGTTCATCAAGGCTAAACCCTGGGATAGTGATTACTCCAGAGTGCAGGCACATCAAAATGCAGCAGACATTAAACATGAATTTTTTGACTAGATTTTGTGTTGTTTGACCCCTAGAGCCAAGGTACACATCCACCTTAAGAACTTTGTGTTTGCAAATGCAATGACTTCATTTTTGTCTTTGTTTAACTAAAGACAGTTGTAGCACATGTAACTGTTAATTTCATCAATGCATTGGCAAAGGGGGGGGGGGGGGGGTGGATATATGGGGCTGCTGTCAATAAGGATATGTACAGGGTGGGCCATTTATATGGATACACCTTAATAAAATGGGAATGGTTGGTGATATTAACGTCCTGTTTGTGGCACATTAGTATATGTGAGGGGGCAAACTTTTCAAGATGGGTGGTGACCATGGTGGCCATTTTGGATCCAACTTTTGTTTTTTCAGCAAGAAGAGGGTCATTTGACACATCAAACTTATTAGGAATTTCACAAGAACAACAATGGTGTGCTTGGTTTTAACTTTAACTTTTTTCTTTCACAAGTTATTTCTGAACACTTATAAGGACGAGGCAGTGGCACAGTAGGTAGTGCTGTCTCCTCACAGCAAGAAGGTCGCTGGTTCGAACCTCGGCTCAGTTGCCGTTTCTGTGTGGAGTTTGCATGTTCTTCCTGCCTTCGGGTGGGTTTCCTCCAGGTGCTCCGGTTTCCCCCACAGTCCAAAGACATGCGGTACAGTTGAATTGGGTAGGCTAAATTGTCCGTAGTGTATGAGTGTTTGTGAATGTGTGTATGGATGTTTCCCAGAGATGGGTTGCGGCTGGAAGGGCATCCGCTGCGTAAAAAACTTGCTGGATAAGTTGGCAGTTCATTCCGCTGTGGCGACCCCGGATTAATAAATCCGGGGTCGCCGACAAGAAAATGAATGAATGAATGACCACTTATAAAATGTGTTCAATGTGCTGCCCATTGTGTTGGATTGTCGATGCAACCCTCTTCTCCCACTCTTCACACACTGATAGCAACACTGCAGGAGAAATGCCAGCACAGGCTTCCAGTCTCCGTAGTTTCAGATGCTGCACATCTTGTATCTTCACACCATAGACAACAAAGATAGTGGGGCCATTCTTCATCAATGGAAACCTCAAGGCCACTGGATATTTGAAATTGCTACATGATGGTGTATTTCCCTCTTTATGCACTGAAGCTGGCATGCTCCCTGAGTTTTTCCAGCAGGATGGTGCACCACCACATTATGGGTGTCAGGTCTGAGCATCCATAGATGAACAGTTTCCTGAAAAGTGGATTGGTCATTGTAGGCCAGCTGAATGGCCCCCAAGGTCTCCCCATCTGACCCCCTTAGACTTTTATCTTTGGGGTCATCTGAAGGTAATTGTCTATGGTGTGAAGAGCCTCCTCCAATCTGCCTCTTTACTTTCTCTCTTTCATGGAAAAGGAAACAGTGGCGTACACACTCCACTGGAGACATCCATTAGCCATCCATTCGTTTGATAATTGAAGATTTGTTTCAAAACTATTTCTAAATTCAGTTCTAATTTCCAGCAATTAAATAAGTGAACAATAATAATGAAGTGTGCTCAAAAAACAAATCCAAACACCACCTATGGGCCCCATATGACCCAAAACCTGACAAGTTGAAACATCTAAGCTTGTTTTTAATAAAAAAAATATAAATATGCATATAATAACACTAATGTTAATAACATTATACAAAAGCAAGTTATCATGAATGAACTAAATACTAAATAACTAAATAAGTCCCCTGAGATAAAACCCTTGAAGCATTGGTTTTTATATTTATGTACATAAACAATTCTTATATTTTTTCATCCTAACAATAGCAAAAATGAAATCAGACATGCCTTTAGTGCTTTTGTGCCATCCTCTAACTATGCATACCAATGACTTTACACACCGTGAACTTACAGATTTAAACCTCAGCTAGAGGTTTTCATTAACTTAGAACCGTGTTGCACACTGCGTAAAAGGGGAATTTACAAAAAAGCAGAATAGGGGCACTTGAATAAAATTTAAGTGTGTATTTCCAGTAATCAGTAATAAATGTAACTCACTTTCTAAACTGTTGTCGAGAGACTTCGTCCCCACAAAAGAGGCAGACAGTAGCAAGCAGTGCTGCACCAGATTGACAGAGAGCTTGCTCTCTGCATGAGGCCTTCATTGCTATTTCAATAACCTACAGAAATAGCACTGGTAAATATTTCAAGCAAATACAGGCATGACATCCTATTAGTCCAAATTCTACAGTGCTAAATTAAATAATATGGGAATTAAACATTATAGTTAATAATAAAAAAAGTGTTCTTCACTTACCTCTTGTGTTCTCTCTTTTAGGATAAACTGTGAAGGGGACAAGCTAAAAACAGCTGAGTCCATAAGAGCTTGATCCTTAAGACTGCTGTATGATACAACTTTTACAAATGCAGCACGTGAGCCCGTGTTCCGCACGCATATACAGAGCTTACTGACATGCCCAGACTGTACCCCTCTCAGTGTGGCCACATAACCATCAGAATGTTTCCGCAAATTCTCCAGAATTACATTGCTTTTGCCTCCATAGCCTGATAGAGGGATCTAAAAGATCATATTATAATTAACACCACACATTTTCAACCCAATATTAACATTTTTAGAGATTATCAAATCATAAATAAACTCACTGTGAATTTGACCCCAGGCTGGGAGGCACATGCAGCAGACTGCTTGATTTCCAGCTTGGCCAACATGGAGGCAACACGAGTGGGAGCAAAGAGAAGATGAACAGTCACATCCTCTTTGGGCTTGATTGACAGCTCTCTGTTACGTGTAAGTCGCTCATTTGGCCCAAACGAACTCTGTAGCTGATGTTTTGGCAAAAGCAGAAAAAGATGAGGGAGACAAAAAACTAAAATATAAAAAAATGAAACTATACTGCAAAATGATGTTGATGTTAAAATTGCTATGGTGTGCATTGATTTAATGTTACCTATAAAATGAAAAGATTTTCTATCAGGCTCCTATGATTAGGTTCAGCAGTTTCATTTTATAGGTAGTGATAAGGTTATTAGCAGGTAAGTAAAACAGCTTTTCAAAAATGTAACTTAAAGTAGATTTTCTATCGCATCTAAAAAAAGATTTCTATTTCTAAAAAAGATACTGTATAATATTGTATC